CTGTTGAGATTCTAGAAACCCTAGGTCTGTTCATAATCATGGAATCAAGAATCTGACTGAATTCTAGGGATCTAATGGGTGAAAGGAACCCACTAGTGAAATCCCACATACATGGTGACGAATTCCACGGAGAAATATTTCTATTTCGGGGCTGGAACTGATGAAACCTTGCTGCGTTCTTGAACTAGGGTTCTTGACCTTTTTCTCCTCTCTTGCTTCTAATTTTCTAAGTTTTGATTAATGATTTTGACTAAGGCTTAAGTTCTAGTTGATAAAAGACCCCTGAATTAACTGCTGTCGGAGTGATCGACGGTTTGGACTGACGGGCCGTCAATTGGGTCCGTAGGTTAAGTCTGCCCGACATGGCTTCACTAAAACGAGCATAACCTTTTACTTGGAGGTTGGAATTTAGCAAACTCGGTGGCGTTGGAAAGATAATTCAATTATCTATCAGACCATAGGTAATGGGACACACAAATCCTTTTGTGCTAAAAGTTATGACCATCTGAAGTTGACCCATCAATAATTTTCAGCTAACTAGCTGTTGACCCTCATCTACGGTCAGACCTACGGACCGTGGATCGAATGACGGTCCGTGCTGGTCGACCGTAGTTTGTGTCAGAGGCTGGGTAAGGGAAGTCTCGATCCACGGACCGTTGTCTGATCTACGGACCGTGGGTCTGTCCGTGAGTCGGGACTTAGCCAATTTTTTGAGCTGGTTTGGGGAGGGGTTGCAGTGGTGAACCACGGACCACCAGCACGGGCCGTGGTCTGACCTACGGTCCGTGGATGGTGACCGTAAGTTGCACCTGCAACTTCTCGAAATCTGTATTTTGGTCTGTTTCGAATACGGGGTGTTACAAAACTACCCCCACATTGAACACTGAGAACCTCTCAAATACTTCTAATCAAATAACAATAGAGGAGCTAACTACTCCAGAATCGGAGTTGGCTAGCCCAGCTTGAAAGACAGGCCCATAGAATAGAGACACAACACCAGTTATCCAAATGACATCATCATGGGGAAGCCAACAGACTCAATACAAACCAGAGCTCCGTTGAGAAAACAAGAATCCATAGCACTCATCTCTCATATTGAACCTAAATATATAAATGAGGCGATGGAAGATGAATCCTGGAAACAAGCAATGAAAGAACTAGATCAATTTGAAAGAAACCAGTTATGGACTCTTATTGAAAGGCCAAAAAATTGTTCCGTAATTAGAATCAAGTGGGTGTTTCGAAATAAGCTAAATGAAGATGGAAAAGTCATTTGTAACAAAGCAATATTGGTTGCTCAAGGATACCCTAAACAGAAAGGTATTGATTACGATGAAACTTTTGCTCAGGTAGCAAGGTTAGAATCTATTCGAATTTTGCTGGCATATGTATCTTTTAAGCATTTTAAACTTTTTCAAATGGATGTAAAAAGTACCTTTTTAAACGGTTTCATAAAACAAGAAGGTTTTGTCAAACAACCCTCCAGGTTTGAAAATCCATCTTGTCCAGACTTTGTTTATAAACTTTCCAAAGCGCTTTATGGTCTCAAACAAGCTCCCAAAGCTTGGTATGAGAGACTTTACACCTTTTTACTTCAAAATAATTTCCAAATGGGGAAAATTGACACAACACTTTTCATTCAAAGATCCGCTAAATATATTCTTATAGTTCAAATTTATGTTGATGATATTATCTTTGGAAGCTGTAACCCCTCGTTGTGTGAGAATTTTGCAAATCTTATGAAAGGAGAATTTAAAATGAGTCTAATGGGAGAACTCACATTCTTTCTCGGATTACAAAACAAGCAGTCGACTAATGAAACTTCCAATCAAACCAAATATACCGAAGAACTAATTAAGAAGTCCTGCCTTGAAAAAAGAAAAAACATTCGAAACTCCTATGAGTCCTTCCACGTGCCTTGAAACAGATGCACCAGGAAAAGATGTGGTCGAAAAAATGTATCGAGGAATGGTTGGATCACTACTATATCTCACTGCAAGTTGACCAGATATCATGTACAGTGTATGCTAATGTGCAAGGTTTCAATCTTCCCCAAAGGAATCACATCTTACTGCAGTAAAACGAATCATTTGCTATTTGATTGGAACTACAGAATTAGGGCTATGGTACCCCACTCATCCCATTTTGATTTAATTGGCTACTCAGATGCTGATTTTGTAGGTGATAAAAATGATCGAAAAAGTACAAGTGGAACATGCCAAATTTTGGGTTAATCTTTAATTTCCTGGCACAACAAAAAAACAAACTTTCGTCGCACTATCTACTACGAAATTTGAATACCTAGCCGTGGGGAGATGTGGTACTCAATTATTATGGAAGATGCATCAATTACTTGATTTTGATTTATTGTATGAAGTTGTTCCTATTTTTGTGATAATGCTAGTGCTATTAGTCTTTCTAAATATATTGTGAATCATTCCAGGGTTAAGCATATTGCCATTAAGCATCATTTTATTCGATATCATCTTAAAAATGATGATTTTTCTTTAGAATTTGTTGATTCTGAAAATCAATTAGCTGATATTTTTAAAAAATCATTGCTTGAAGAAAAAATTGTTTCCTTCGTAATTTTCTTGGTATTACCTTGTTTGCTCCATAAATATTTGTGTGATTGTTTTTCCTTTTACGTGTTGTTTTATTTTTTATCTGCCTAGTTTACCGCTCTCATTATTACTCTCTACCTTTTTCTCTTCGCAGTAAACCCTTCTCATTCCATATTTTTAAATCTTTTCCTTTTTGACTTTTCTTCTTTTCCGAAACCCCTCTTTTCCCTTTTCTATTTCATTGGCCTTCTCCTTCTTCCCTCTCCTCATTCTTACCATACCACGAACTCGATCGATGGATTCTCTTAAAAGCTCCGATCATCATTCTTCTAGTTCCTCTGAAGTTCTCTGTCATATGATTCGTTTGATGACTCAATGGTTTCTCCTTCTCCGTCCTTTATGTGAAAAGCACCTGCAGTCAAAAAGAAGGGACAAAATAAAGCCCAACCTAGTGCTTCTGGAACTCTATCTCCCGAGGACAGGCAACTCTTCTAGGTTGTTGAACAAAAGATCAGGTATGATAAATTCAAATCTCGTCCTATTGTTCCTGGGTGATCAATCTCAGTTAGTTGAAGGAATCTTATTGTTTGATAAGTTATTTTCTAAAAGCTCAGATGTTATATGTGCAGTTCAATATTTATGGTCTTGCATTATTTGAAAAAGCTGTTAGATTATTCTATGTAAATCTCTTATATCTAATGATAGTGGTGAACTGGAAACCCTAGTCATGGGAAGTCGTATTATTATTAATGAACTCTTGTTTGTGGATCTGTTTGAGACTAAGTTTTTCGGTGTAATTCCTTATATGAATGGTGTTTGTCTTGATGACTCCGAGGTGTCTCTGGAAGGGGCCAAAAATGTCGTGGCTAAACCAAGCGCTGACCTATCTGATTTTTGACCTTTATATCTCTGTTTTGAACATCGTATTCTTGCACATATTATTGCTACTACACTCATTCCAAGGAAAGGTTCCTTGAGTAGCATCTCTACTCAAGATGTGTTTGTTCTCTACTGTTTATTGAAAAAGTACCGCATTCACTGGGAAATGTGGTTCAAGGAGTAGATGCTGGAAAGTGCTGAGGACTCGAATGCATCTGCTTGTTTACTATATGGACTTCTCATCTCATGAATTTTGGTGGACCGTCTAGTAGATCTTTCAATGTTCAAACCCACTTAAATAAATGCCACCTATGACTCTCGCACCTTCTCTAGTATGGGGTATGTGCAGGTAGGAGAAAAATGGGTCAAGAAGGACTCAGTTCAAGCCAAAGCAGATGCTGTCAAGCCAACCAAGATCTCTGCTGGTCGGCTACCTTATTGCTGAAAGATACTGATGAACTCAAAAATCATATTCTTGTTGTCGAAAGAGGACTGGAATCTCTTCAAGACGTTGTGGAAAAGTTGTTCAGGATCCAGAAGGACACTAGCACATACGTGGGTAAGTTGCGCATTGTGATGACAAGTATTAAGCAAGAAGGGATCACTATTGTCAAAAAGCTCATCCAAAAAGTTGACTCTCTCAAGAGTGGAGTCAACTCCTCCAACAATGATCTTGCTGTTTCAGTGCAAACCTCTTACTCCAGCCTGTCTAGAGGGGCAGAACGCTCCTACAATTCCTTTTGTGGGAAGGTTACCAACACCCTCAAATACTTTCTGGGTGACCGCTAGACTCTCTTTATATCCTTCTTTTGCTTCCTACTTTTGAACAATATTTCAATGGGGTCTATCCCTATCTCTAACTCTTCTTTAGAACTGTATATTGAGGGATATCTTCCCTAATTGCTACTCCTAGTTATCCTCGCCTGCTTTAGTTCTTCAGAGTTGCATTACTTGTTCTTTCCTTTTTGATTATTCTAAAAGGGGAGACTAGCCCCTCAATTCTTTAAACATGAGATAACAAAGACAAGGGGATCAACATGATATGAGGAGCACTCCAAGACTTTACTACTAAAAAGGGAAGTTTTCATTATATCCTGCACCATCTGAAAAAATAATAAAGAGGGAATTGTGAAAAATTAATTGTCATTATCAAAAAGGGGGAGATTGTTTGCCTCATAGGATCCTGATTTCGATAAACGAAAATTGACAAATATATGATCTACTCGCAGGAAATCAAGGAAATCAGAAAGGAAGGAAATTATGCTTATCATAGGGCAGTCTGTGAAGTAATACAAACAAGGGGAGAAGCATAGAATCAAATCAAGATAGCTAAAATCCTAGCCATGTTTCATGAAGCAACGCACGAAAGGCAAAGAAACTCAAGTTAAGCAATGTAACACCTAAAGAAGGAAAGAGACAATTTGTTCTTCAATCAAGAAATAATATATTCTGAAGATCAACGAGATCATCCAAGATTCTAGATCACAAGAAGATCATGAAACAAAGGAAGAAATTGATTTGCTCATGCACATATCTAATATGGACATGACTCAGCAAATAAATCAAGGACTCAATCAAAGATCCTTGATTTAAACACCCTTGTGTTTCCATAATAGAGAAGTCCTCCAAAACTATATAAACCTCTCTTAGCCTTAGTTATGAAGTACACACTTCACTTGAACTTGTACTATTTTCTTCTGTTGTCTTTCATAAAGCATTGTATTCTTGTGAGTATACAACTAAAAAAAGAAAAGAGTAAGAAGAATTTGAGTGTAGGTTATACAAGTAGAGGTTGTGTCAAAGTAGAAGTTCTGATTTGCACATTAGACATGATTTATAGTCGACATACTTTGTACTGCCCAAGTTCTCTTCAAGCTTTTAAGGAAACCCTTCAAATCCAAGGGGACCGGAAGTAGACACCACACCGGTGTTCTGAACTAGTATAATACTCTATGAATCGTTTACTTACTGCACTTACTATTACTTTATACTTATGTTACTAACTTACAGGTAAGTCGACTGTTTAAAATGTTTACGATTTAAACTTATGTTAAGGTTTTCAAATGTTTCATTGAACTTGTCCTATGATTTATGATTTTAGTTTATTAAGATGTGATATATTTTACTTCGTCATGCATCATTATTTTTTCAAGACTTAGCATCTCCATATTTATGTTCATGTATGTTCCCCATATTTTGTACATTCCAAGTACTGACACATATATCTCTTGTGCCTATATTATTTCATAATATAGGGTCTGACGTTACTGCATCTGACCGTGGCTAGGGGATTAATTCAGATTTGCTTAGTTTGTGGTGAGTCCTCATAGTTTGAGGGCATGATCACACATTATGAGTTTCTTGTCTATTTCAATTTTTATTTTATTTTTAAGACTTATTTCATGAGCTAGGGCTTGTCCTATTCACACATATGATAGTAGAGGTTGTTGTCAGACTTAGTATGATTCTATATTACAGTCTTTGTACATAATTTTGGTATCTTATTGAGTTGAAGTATTGAGACTTATATTTCACTTTATCTCTAATTTTTATTATGTTGATATCTTATTATCATGCTTTTGTCAAGTGGCTTGTTTAGGGTCTCTTGAAATCCTATTCACCATGTCATGTCTAGGGGGTAGTTTAGGTCGTGAAAAACTTGATATTCTGAGCATCAGATTTTTAAAAGAGTCGTAGGAGTCTGACAAGCCATGTTTAGTAGAGTCTTGTTCATGAGTGTGAAGCACACCACACTTATGAGTATGAGGCAATGGGACTTTTAAGAAACTTCACTTCTTTCATTACTATGAAGTTATGCGATATAATTAAACTCTATAAGGGTCTTCCTCCTAACTCTTTTTCTATGAGTTTTCAAAACATGCCTCAACGAAGAGCTCCATTTAGAAGAAATGTCAATGACGATGTGGAACCTAAAATTCTTCAAGCTCTGGTTGATCCCTCCACCAAGCAAGTGACTCATGGGAAATTTAGGGCCATATTCTAAGTATTGGCCCAAGACATGACCGCACAAGCTAATAGGGAAGTTGTAGCTCCCATGAGCCCAAATGTGGGTATGACGACAAAAAAAGTAAGCGACTTTACAAGGATGAATCATTTAGAATTCGATGGTTTGAAAGTGGATGAGGATCCAGAAGAGTTGATTGAGGGTATCCATAAGATCATGGACATTATGGGAGTAACGCCGGGAAAAGGCAGATTTGGCCACTTATCAATTGAAAGGGGTTTCTCAAGTGTGGTTTGAGCAATTGAAGGATGAAAAGACATTAGATGTGGGTCCCTTGGATTGGGAAAAGTTCAAAGAGGTGTTTCTTGATCGATTCTTTCCCCTTATGATGAGGGAGGCTAAAGTCCAAGGCTTCATAAACCTAAGACAAGGAAATATACATGTGAAGGAATACTCTTTGAAGTTCACTCAATTGTCTAAGTATGCTCTGATAATAGATGCTGACTCTAGGGCACAAATGAGTAAGTTTGTTTTGTGTGTGTCAGAATGTGTGGTAAAGGAATGTAGAACTACCATGTTAATCAATGAGATGGACATCTTAAGGTTGATGAATCATTCTCAAATAATCTAGGAGTAATATTAAAGGAGAATGCTATAGTATATAAAAGGGCAAACACATCTAGTGGTGATTTCACTCACTCAAAGTCTGGTGGAAATGAACATTCATAGTTTCGATAAAAGTTCTCTGGTACGAATCCAGCAAGTGCTTCAATAGAAAAGTTCAACAAGGATAGAATGATTGGACCTAAACTTCAAGGAAGTATTTCTAGTGGATCATCTTTCCTCGCTTTCTAAAATATGGCAACATTCATTCGGGGAGATGCTTTGCCGGTACCGATGGTGGCTATGGTTGTGGTAAAAGTGGTCACAAATTGAGATATTTCCCTTCTCCTGTTGGTAAGGTTAGAGATGGTTGTTAGGTTCAACCTGGTGCTTTTTTTCGTCGCTCAACTCAACAAGGTGCTTCTTTTAGTTCTGGTAGTGCTCAGTATCAGAACATGTTTTATGCTCTTTAGACTCGACAGGATCATGAAGGTTCTCCAGATATGGTGACTGGTAAATTACGAATCTTTCAGTTTGATGTTTATGCATTGATTGATCCACGTGCTACATTGTCTTTTGTGACTCCTTTATGTGGATATGAAGTTTAATATCAGTCCTGAAGTTCTCTTAGAACCTTTTTAAGTCTCTATTTCAGTTGGTGATTTCATTGTTGCTAGACGAATTTATAGAAATTGCTAGTTTCAATCTCTTATAGAGTCACCCTAGTTGATCTTGTAGAGTTAAACATGATAGATTTTGATGTAATTTTTGGGGTGGATTGGCTTCATTCTTGTTATGCCTCTATTGATTGCCGAATTCGAGTGGTTACATTTCCAGGTTCCGAATGAACCTATCTTAGAATGGAAGGGTGGAAATTCAGTGCCCATAGGTTGATTGATCTCGTGCCTTAAGGCTAGGAAAATAAATACTAAAGGTTTCATTTATCATCTTGCTCAGGTTAGGGATACAGATTCTGAAACCCCTACTCTTAAGTTAATTTCAGTTTTCAATGAGTTTTTGGAAGTATTTCTCGATGATCTAACAAGTTTTCCTCCTGAAATGAAGATAGACTTTTGTATTAGCCTTCTTCCATATACACATCCTATATATATTCATCCTTACCATTTGGCCCTGACAGAACTCAAAGAATCAAATGATCAGTTGAAGGATTTGTTGGATAAGGGTTTTATTAAATCGAGTATCTCACTGTAGGGTTCTCCGGTATTGTTTGTTCGGAAGAAAGATGGTTTAATTTGTATGTGTATTGACTATCGACAATAAAATAAGGTCATGATAAATAATATGTTTCCTATTCTGAGGATAGATGACTTGTTTGATCAACTTCAAGGTGATATTTTCTTCCTAAAGATTGAACTTTGATCAAGGTATCATCTATTAAGGGTAAGGGAAAATGACATTCTGAAGATGAATTTCTGAACTTGGTATAATCA